AAAATTGGAAACTCCCAAAATTTAGAAAACCTCCGGAGCCAACACATTGAATACGAACTACCGTCTGCCGTTCCCTGAACCGGTGGCCGGAGTAATCAGTCTGAATCGATCAAAAGAAGAAAGCAAGTTTCAGGTAATCTTTGATTCTTGCATTTTCCTTCTTCATTTGTTTTTTCGATTCTTGTTTTTCTTTAAACACCTGCTTCATTTCGATCATGGAGTTTATCATTTTCTCCGGCATGATTAGTGTTCTTATGTTTCAGGGCGAGATTGAAACTTCAAAGAGGGATTTTCTTTTCGGCTTTTTTTTTTTTTTTTTGTTAGAAGTGAAATAAAAGCGTTTGGAAGGATGGAAAGTTTCAGTAGATTACCTGATGAGCTTCTTTTACACATTCTCTCATTCCTTAGTTTCAAAGAAGCGGTTCGTACCTCTGTATTGTCAAAAAGGTGGAGGTATCTATATGCTTCATTATCTAAACTTGATCTTCACTTTCGTCAGTTTGCATTCAAGGAGGCTGGTCAGATTGATTTAATGAATGTTGTGGATAGAATATTCTTTTACCGCGACAGATGCCCCATAGATAAGTTTAAATTCAGGTGGCTAAAATCAGAAGCTCTTGACCCTTTGCGCCTTGAAGGTTGGATAAAAGCTGTAATGTGGCATGGTGTTCGAAATCTTCAAATTCGTTTTGATCCCATTGAGTTGAAAGAGTTATTGCTGCCAACTAGCTTGTTTACTTCTAAGACATTGGTGGACCTGAAGTTGAGCTACACTGGTGCCTTGAACATGGAATCTGGTGGCTCTGGTTTAGAACTGCCTGCCCATGTTTTTCTCCCATCTCTTAAGTTCCTTCACCTAAGAAATGTCACTTTTTCGAATGTTGATTCTTGGAATAGGCTGTTTTCTAACTGCCCTGTCCTTGAGGATTTGTACTTCTTCTTCAATAATGGTCGCTGCAAATTTACCATTACGCATCCTAAACTCAAGATGTTGACCCTACAATGTGCTCCCACTTCGCGGAAGTATGGCAGAACTGAGATTGTGATTAATGCTCCAAATCTTGTCTACTTGGAATACATTATCAATGATGCAGATTCTCTTACATTTGTAAATGTCCAGTCTCTTGATGAAGCCGATATACAATTTTCAGAACTTCATGGCAGGCAGAGGCGTTACACCCGTGTTGCAACTGATGTTATGGTGGCGATAAAGAACATTCAGACACTTTGGATATCTGGTCCTACTATAAGAGTAGGTTCCTGATCATGCCTCACTCCAGAGATGAACAATTAATTATAAATTGCCTTTTTCTTCTTTGCTTGGTGATTACCACCAGCCAAATATATGCAGCTAACTATAATCTTCTACTTTTGCAGATTCTCAAATTGTTCAGTGTTCCGATCCCTGTGTTTCATAATTTGACTCATTTGACTATTCATCAATGTGATACTAAGGTGAATGAACTACCATATCTACTTGAACGTTGTAAATCTTTAGAAACCCTTGTTCTGCAGGTATGGAATCAAAAAACTGAACAGAAATGACAATTAAGCCAATGTCCAGTAGAAATTATATGTGAATGTTTTCTGTTTTCTGATCAGGATCTTTTTTTCTGGGATCCCAATGCCTGGAGTTCAGTAAAGGAATCCAGATTCAGTTTTACATTTTGCCTGAAAAAAATTGAAATTTTGATATTTTTGGGCAAGGACAGTCAAATGGAAATGGTGAAGTATTTTCTCGAAAAAGCAAGAGTTCTAGAGAGCATGGAAATTCATATTCCGGTAAAATATGAAAAATTGTCGAAGATAATCCGAAGGGTGCTGATGTTACCAAAAGTTTCAAAAGAATGCAATGTCACTTTTTTCCAGGTATCTCAATGTTTCTTTTTCTTTTTTTCTTTTTTTGGTTGAATTATCTAATATTATTTCAGTTCTCATTTGTATGGCATGCCATCATTTGCTTCAGGATATAACTTCTTTTCTGTGTAGGCCTATACTATGGTGGATGGGAGCTCTTTTTGTCAGCATTGCTTAGAATGGAAGGTAAGAGAGTCAGGAGCTGATTCTGTTCTCATAGTTAGTGCAAAAGGACGGTTCACTGGTTCAGGTTGGGTAAAATTAAACTCTGGTGGCTAGCTGCTCAGAATATGCTTATTCAAAATACATTCACTTACATCAGGGAACACCCATTAGCAAGTTACATCACTTACATCTAAAGAGTATCTAACCTTAGAGATTATAAAACCATTAGCATCTACAAAGCACCCAAAACCCTTAGCAGTTTCCTAGCCCCTCTTCCTGTCTATATGCTTCCTTTCCAATTTCTTCAATTCCTCCTTTTTCATTCTTTCTTTGTCTCTCATCTTTCATTCTCCTTCCTCTCATACTCCCCCCCTTTTTTTTTTGCCTTGTCACTGCCCTTTTGTTTTTCCTTCCTTTTGACTACACTATCTTTTGTTATCTCTGCTCTGCTGTTGGGTAGAGGTTTTGTGGTGGTTTGTTGTTGTATTGTTATACATATTGGAGTTATTTTTCTTAAGAAACATTAATACTGGGCACTTTCAGACATCTACATTTCGAATAGGACGAATTTGGCCTGGTAACTCTGTGTGGGGCAGTTTCGAAAAAATCTAAAATTCAAAATACTACATTCATGTTAATGGCATTTAAGAAAGGATCTTTGTCAATTTTCCTTAGGTGCAGTTCAACAGCATAAACAGGCATATGTGCACCTCTTCTCCCACTTTTGCCTTGTTCTGTTCTTCAAAAAAGGCTTTCCTTTTTGATGCCTCATGCTTGTTTGGGGAATTCAGATTTGGGCTTTTAATATTTCAGATATCAGACAAGAGGGAATCAATCTACTACTTGTTATATTAGTTGAATTCATTGGTTCCTCTACTTTTTATTTTTGTTGAATTTGTTGGTTCCTCTTTGCTGTTTGTTCTGTGAATTCAAAGGATGAGGTTTCAGCTGCCAATTTTCATTCACCAAGAAATTCATTGGGCGGCCGTTTGAGGAAAAGTTTTTTGCTTTCCCCTATCTATCTTTCCTTCGCTCTGTATTTCTCACATTGGAATTTTAATCCCCTATCCTCATGCTCACCCTCTCTCCCTGTTCTCTTTCTTCTTACTTCTCTTTTTCATCTCCTTTTACCACTAACTTGAGGGATTTTCATTCATCTTCATGCACACATAAATGGGCTTGTGCATCTTCTTGGTCTCTCTCTGAATCAATACTTGCATCTTCCGTATAGTCCTAAAACTTCCATAGACTTGGTTTTTGTTTCTGATGTTATTTTTATCAATTTATTGCAACTACTATCTGTTTTTCTTATTTTTTCAATTCTACCTTTTTTTGCAGGTACCTGACCAAGGATGAAAAGGTTTGAGATTCCACTTTACATTAATTTTCTGTTTGTCTCTTTTCTTTTTCTATTCTAATATTTCACTTCTTACTGAAACTGATTTTTGTTATTATTCTTTCTTTTCTATTTTGCAGGTTGTACCTGTTTTCTTGTCAAATACAAAGTTTCGGCCTTTCACGTAAGTATATTCACTTAACCCTATTACTCCCTTTAAGATGGCGATGGTGAACTAAATTGGCAATAGCTTTCTGAAAAATTTTGACACATTTTTTCACAAATTATGGAACATTCTTTTCCAGTAGCTTTATAATTCCCTTTATTTTGAAGGTGGAACATCTCAGCAGTGCTCCATGAGAGGCCCTTGGGGGATATCAAATTTTCTTTGGTACACTTCTCTTGCTCATTGATTTATTTGGCTTGTACTCTTTTGGAAGGAATTCTCTGAATTCTTCTAATTTACAAATGTGAAATATGTATACTTAATTTGTTAGATATGTCATTTTAATATGAAATCTGACTTTAAAGTTTTAACTAATCAATGAAAACCCAATTGCTTCACAAAAGGGTAAACAAGTCAATGTGCTTTTTTATTTTCATGGAGAAAGAAAAACACATAAGAGTCAGAGGTTTAATTCTGATAGGTGAGATGAGAGGAAGGAGATGAGGCCAAAACAAAAAAAATCAATTGGATTCCCTGTTCATCTTTTTCTCTGATTTGATCATTTCTTAGTCCTATATGTATTTTAGACTGGACTAGCTGTTGGCTTCATTATATAATCCTCTGTGTTTTATTCTGTTCTGATTTGGTCTTTGAATGTGATTGAGGTTGGCTCTAATATCAAGTTTTTATATTTTGATATAGTATTTTACTTCTTAGTACAATTGGTGGTCTGATTTTAACATGTGTGCGCAAATCTGGTCTATCTTCATCTATAACTAATGAAAAATCTTGGCTCTCTTGCAGGTTGTGCTCAACTACTTTCTAAAGATAAAGAGACATTTAGACACTGTAATTCTTTTTTCGACTCAAAGAACTTGAAGTATACTTTTTTGTTCTCACTGAATTTAGACCTTTGCTCTTGCTTTTATTGATTGTAGAATCAATGAAATGGTCAAAAGGTAAAAACTACTGGAATATTAATCATGTGAATTTCTTATGGTTTGTGTTACTTCATAGTTTATAGCAATTCCTGTGGTTTTGGCATATCAATAGTAGCATTGAGGAAGGTTCTGCTTAAAATTTTTTTCAGCAAAAAACTCTCAATTTTGTTATTAATATAAATAGCAGATAATACAAAAGGTATTAAGGTAGTAGAGAAAACAGAAATAAAAGTAGGATTGTGCCAGGAATGTTCTGTTTTTATTTAGCATAAAACCTCACTGAAGATTTACAATTTTGTTCATCACATTGCAATTGCCAACACTGATCATTTTGATCTGTCAAGTAATCCAACCAGAAAACGGAGAGAATGAAATTAACTCCCTCTACAACCAGGCTTAGTCTGTGGGAAATGAAGTGAGATAATTTAATATAATCAGATTAAGATTTTGCCAATGCCTTTATTTAATTGAATGAAATTAACTCCCTCTACA